CTGTACATGTACATGTATGCATATACTGCAGTAGTTACCTCTTCAGGATTCTCATAGTTTACATTAGCTCCTTGAGACAGTGCAGACTGGACACCAGTAGCATCACCTCTTTCAGCAGCTTCATATAACTCCTTATTCTACAATGAATCATGCAGTAAGTTAAATACCGTACAGTCAGAAATATTGATGGGAGTTAAATTTGGAAATTTGCTAAAAATTTACAACTGACAAATTTTATATTGGCAATAATTCTAGTGGCTGCATGTGGTCACAATTAACTAAAACAACAGATTTTACTTTAATTATCACATCCACACTTTTCCTGCTAATAATTCCAGCTGTATGGTACTGTATTGAAGTGGAGCTAACTAATTTTAACATGATTATTACTACATGTACTACTAAGCTCTTATTGGGTCATATTTCCTATGTAGATTTTACAAGTGGGAGTGGTAAAATGGTACAGTAGATGTGACTGCTATAATACTGACTCACATGAACTGAAGTATTTTGATCAGCTTCTTTACTTAATAACTTTACAATCTCATCATGTCCTTCTCTTGTTGCTGCAACTAGAGCAGTATATCCTGACTATAAAAATAAGACGATAAATAATGTTAAGTGTGTTATTACTAGCTATTAAAACTCTGTTCCTCATACAGTACATGTACAGTTTACATAATCATTAAGGTATTACAAGTCTAATTCTACATTTTCATGGACTAACTAAAAATTTTAGAAGAATAAAAGATAACATACTTATGATTATTTTTTGGAAAATTAATCAATCTGTGCAGTTATTACAATTATAAAACCATACATACAAAATTAATACCGTAATTTGCCTTTTTTTATACAAAAATTTTTCGTTTCAGAAAAATTCAAGTGGAAATATTTTCATCTTCTCATAGTGTACAAAAATTTTTAAAGTCTGAAAATTTAGCTTCTCTTGCATATACCTTGTCCTTTACCTACTGGTAACAAGGCCGCTATAGTAGTGTTTACAATTCTTGAGATAAGAGATCCTTGACCTGGCTGTTCCCCGACATTACTAGTATACGGATAGTACTGGAGATGCAGCATGACCAATTTACGGATAATAAACGGAAACATTAAATGGCTACTTTTGTCACATGGTGGACCATTTTATTTTATAACTCAGTAGTGAAGCAACTGATTGAAGTACAGCAAGCACCAGTGGATAGAGCAAGGTTAGAGCTGCAAGAAGATACCTACTTATCAGGCCATACCTTAGTCTTTCATTGATGAATTAGGTCACAAATTTTGGTTGCTTAAAAATTTTCGACTGAAATTTCTTCGTCATTTTATTGTCATTTAGAGCAATGGTTTAAATGAAGTTAATCAGCAAGGGCCATCCTTGCTTGGGTGACCGCCCACATGCCCACTGCATGGCGTGGGCAGTATGCAAATGTAGCAACCCACTTGTACGCCCATGCAGTTCAGTTGTGCGCATGCGTGGGTGACCAGCATCATCCAGCATTCACTTAGGATCTCAAGCATGGAAGAAGCATCTCCGATTGTTCTTATCCTTCCCTCTCGTTCTTCTTCCCATTCACCTGTTGTAACAGACGCTCCAACTATCTGTTAACCAAACTTTATTCTTAATCAACACGAAACTCACAACTAACTAACAACACACTTATATAGATATTATAAATGTCCAGAAGGTTCTATAACATACAAGAATACTTTACATGATTGTTCTAGAATATACTTGAATAAACACATAATATATAATTACAATAGTACACAGAGAGTTCCGGATCCATCTAGAAACAACTTCTTACATTTCCTCCCTTCCCCTCTGGCACGAAGTGCTCTTCCTCTCCAATCTAGAAAGTGCATCTGCATTTGCATTTGCTACCCCTTTCCGATGTTGTATAGTGAAATTATATGGTTGCAGAATCAAACTCCATCTAGTCAATCTTGCATTCTTCTCTTTAAACTTGTGTAGCCATTGAAGAGCTCTATGATCCGTTTGAATAATAAAAGATCTCCCTATGAGAT